GTGGTCCAAGGGAAAGAGGCCAAGGCTGCAATGTCTTCTATGACCCAGTCCTTAGAAGATACACATTGTCACTTTTGCCTTGTTCTATTAATTAGAAGCGAGGCTCTAGGAGAAGGGAATTCGGCTCTATCTCTTCAAGAGTCAGAGTTTGTAAAGAAATTTTACACCACGACAGACGGCAAGGGTAGAAACAGGAGACTAGGTCGGAGGCTAGTGCGATGAAAGGCGATAGTAGAACAGGGTCGGAGCAGTGGAGATATTAAGAACTGGGTGGATTCCTGATTATATCATGAAAATAGAGCCAGCAGGATTTACTGAGGGGTGAACAAGATGAGGCTTACAAGAAAATAAGAGCAGTCAAGAATTGACTATAAGTTGCTTGGTCTGAGCGCCAGAAGGGTAAATTACCATTAACTGGGATAGAACGCAAAGGTAGCAACTTTTGGGAATAGTATAAGCAGTTCAATTTTGGACATTTTAAGTAGGACTTATCTTTTAGACACCCTAGTAGAGATGTCAACTGGGCAGTTGAATGTATGAGTATGAAGTTCAGGAGAGAAGCCAGGGAGGAAATATAAACTTGTTTAAAAGCATGAAAATAGATGAAATCACCCAAAGAATGAGTACGGATACAAGAGGAGATGGTTTGGGACTGAGCCCTGGGGTGCTCCAACATTGAGAAGACAGAGAGAAAAAGAAACTAGCAAAAGAGACTGAGAAGGAGTAACAATAAGATAAAATGAAAAGTGTGCTGTCCTAGGAGAAAGTAAAAATGTGTATCAAGGGGAAGGGAGTAATTTATCAACTATATCTTAGGCTGCTGCTAAATCAAGTAAAATGAGGACTGAGAATTGACCATGGAATTAGGAAGGTGCATTAGTAGCTTGGTCCGTGTAGTTTCACTGGGGTTCTGGAGACCAAAGCCTGAAAAAGGTGAGCTTACAGAGAATGGAAGAAAGATCTATCCTTAACATTTGAGAAACCAGGGCACAAGTACAAATGGAGGCTAATATAATTCTCATAATTTTAACTAGTAATTAAATCTTTTTTTTTTTTGGTACTTGCCCCTAGCGGGAATCGAACCTGGGACTCTCTGGTCCGCAGGCCGAGGTTCCAACCGCTGAGCCAAACCGGCCAGGGCTAAATCTTTATTTAGTAAAGAAAATGAAGTCTCAGAAGTTTCCCATGATCTATTCAAGTTGTGGGTTTGATGAGAATACTTTTCTAGCTTATTTTGTTTTGATCAATAACTAAATCATCACTAAGAAAAAATTTATAATGTCTTATTTATGCTTTTTATGTGGTTCATGCTCAAAAGAAACTTTTGATTTGTTTATAGATATTAAAAATTTAAGCAGACTACCGCTTGTAAATTTTCTATTCATTTTTTCCCCCAATTTTCTTTCCAGAGCTTCAGTTTTGTTTTGTTTTTTTATCCCCACCCGAGGACATTTTTCCATTTTTTCTTCAGATAGAGTGGGAGGGAGAGAGAGGAAGAGAGAGAGAGAGAAACATCAACGTGAAAGGGACACATCGAGTGGCTGCCACTCACACGACCCAACCAGGGCTGGGGACAAACGGTAACCGAGGTACATACCCTTAGCGGGAACCAAACCCTGGTCCCTCTAGACTGCAGGCCGACGCTCTAACCGCTGAGCCAAACTGGCCAGGGTTCCAGAGCTTCAGTTTTGAGGGAAGTACTTTAAAAGTAAGACTCCACTTTTATCTATTTTTAGTCTATCTATTTTTATCACAGTTTTGACCTACTCATCCCCAATGATTTAAAAAATTAAGAAGTAAATGTAATTGTTTTCACAGTGTTCAAATGTGGATATATTTCTACCAAAAATGGGAATTAAAAAGTAAATGTTAAGCCCTCACTAGTTTGACTCAGAGGTTAGAGCTGGCCCAATGAGTCTTGGGTTCGATTCCGGTCAAAGGCACATACCTCGGTTGCAGTTTATCCCGGGCCCTGGTTGGGTCCTGCAGGAGGCAGCCAGTCAATGTGTCTCTCTCACATCAATGTTTCTCTCTCTCCTCTCTCTCTCTATTTCTCTCTACTTCTCTCCCACTTTATCTAAAGATAAATAGAAAAATATATATATTTTTAAGTAAATGTTAAAAAGTTGAAGAATTATTCCTCATATATTTTTAAATAGTTTTTCTCTTAAAACATTCAAGAACAATTTCTTACAACTAAAAGGCAACTATTAATGGAATCAATTTTAAATCAAAATTATTTAAATTCAATAGTGTTTATTTTTTTAATTTAAAATTATTAAATATTATGGAAAAATAAAGTCATTCCCAATTCTAACCTTTAGGCTATCTAATTGCCAATGTGATATCATACTTAATACATATCTAAACATAAATACATACAAATTTTAGAATAAAATGAATGTTCACCATTGCAAAGTAATCCTCAGCAACCATGTGCTATCATGGAGAGTACACCACCACCTCCCGAGGACTCTCAAGTCACACATGAGAACACACAGTGAAACAAGAAAACGACAGTGGGCATCTACTGCAGTCAGGCCATCTGATCGGAAGGACTGACATGGTCATCTGTCCTGCTCACTCAAGTATTTCCACTGCTCACATTCTCCCCAGGCCATGAAGCTGCTTCCTTTCCAATGTGAACAACAAAACACACAACCTTCACAGCATTTTGTTTCAAGAACTTTGGGCAAAGGAGCCCGGCCAGTGTGGCTCAGTGGACTGAGCGCCGTCCCATGGACTGAGAGGTCCCCGTTCGATTCCCAGTCAGAGCACATGCCCAGTTGAAGGCTCGATGCCCAGTAGTGGGGTGTACAGGAGGCAGCTGATCAATGTCTCTCTTTCACATCGATGTTTCTATCTCTCTCTCCTTTCCTCCCTCTCTAAAAAAAATCAATAAAACAGATTTTTAAAAAATCAAAGAAAGGTCTAGCCTAAGATGGAAAAATCATCTCTAGTTTTGGCAGACAACTATTTTCTAGTTAAAGACCTTTTCATTTTAATATTAAACCCTCTGTCTTATTTTCTTTTCATTCCTCTAGAGGGGTTCATTTATATAATTGTAGCATATTTACCATTAGTTTTTACAGAAGAGAGCTCTGCAGTTTTGCATATATTCTGATCTGTGGATATAATAATGCAGAACTTTTTAAACAGTAAACATCTAAAATTTAGCTTTTTTGAAAGAAAAAAAAAAATCTCTTCCAAGAAGTTGGTGCATTTTTTTTTCAGTCACAGTATTCCATGCTTAAGTCTATGAAAGGCTAAAACCTCCATTGAGCACGTGATGAAACTGATCCCAGATGCTTTTATTTCACTGCACGCAACCTGAAAATGAACATGCTCTTTCATTTGGGAACAAAATTCAATTATAAAGAAACAGAAAAATGCAATCTGAGATCAATAGCCTATTACAATGCTAGCATGAAGGATAATTTCAGCTCAGTTAATTCTACTGAAATATGTGGCTATATACTGTTTATTTGCTTGTGCGTTCCTACATGAGAAGTGACATATATTTAGTTTAATTTTATTGGAATGTGAAGGGTATATGTAGAAATGAGTAGTGTTCAAAAAAAGCGTAATAGAAAATTCAAAATCAACAAGCTGAGTCAAAAGAATAAAAGATGATCTCAGGCCCTGGTCGGTTTGGCTCAGCGGTTAGAGTGTTGGCCTACAGTCCAGAGAAACCCGGGTTCTGTTCCTGCTAAGGGCACGTACCTCGGTTGCAGTTTGTTCCCAGCCCTGGTTGGTCGTGCGGGTGGCAGCCACTTGATGTGTCCCTTTCACATCGATGTTTCTCTCTCTCTCTTCTCTCTCCCTCCCACTCTATCTGAACAAAAAATGGAAAAATGTCCTCGGGTGAGGATAAAAAAAAAAGAAAGATACATAGTCTCCTTAAAAATACAATTAGAATTTTAATATTTAATACTCTCATTTTAATAAACATATTTTTTGAAAGTTAATTGGTAAGAAAACAGAAATACACTACATCTCTGAGCTGGAAATTAATTTTAAAGATATGTATTTCAGTTTCATAGATTTGGTTTTAAGGTGGAGTCTTACATAAATCATGTAATTCACTTCTGTGATTTCACAGATGAACAGACATAGGTTGAGAGAGATTGAGTGAATTGTTAAAGTCAATCATCTGGTTAGTTGGGATAAGAAGCTTCCAGATTTGAAATGTATCTGACAGAACTCGGGACATTCTATCCCAACTAATGGCACATTGGCATAGTTCCATATTTTAAGCTGAGGAATTTGAGAAAATGCAGGTTGAAATAAATTTCTAGGCCCAAGATGAAGCCTCTTCTACCTGGGATGCAACCAAAACTTATATTCCTTTCACGTCCCTGTAAATGATCTGCTAGACCAGAAGTGCAGCCTGCGCCCACTTTCTTAGCTATCCGTGTATTTGTTTAAATATTTTACTTACAAGAGGTATTGCCTGCTTGTAAATAATTTGAATGACAGAAAGGCTTACTGTGTTATTTCAAAAACACTTTCCATTATGCAGCTTCGTTTTCTCTTAAACTACATAATATCCAGTTTTACAGCCTTCTCATTTTCTCTCCATCTTAAATGCTGACATTGATCAGGTGCTAGCTTTCAGTCAAACACATTGTTTTGGTGTTTGTAAAATAAACGTATTCCCTAGCTAGGACATCATTCTGACTATAAACAGTGACATGGAAAGTAAAATCCAGATTTCTGACATCAGCAATGTCTCCAGCTATTCAATTTCTTCACCTTCTCTTACCAAAAAAAAAAAAAAAATCATCAACAGGAAGAAGAAATAAGAATGCCATCTGGATCCCTAAATCCCTCCATGTCCTACCAAACACAAAATTCTCCAGAAATGTCTTTCAGATGCCTTCTATTTTTCAAGTCTACGATAACAGTCGCTGGGACAGTTTTGCAGAGGCAGGGAGACGGGCCCTCTGCGTCAGAATCACCACAGCAGGATGCTGAAACCCTACATTACCCACCTGGCGTCCAACCTTCCTGCTCAGAGTGCCTGTCGTTAGAGCAGCCGGAAGGTGCAGTTTTAACAAGCTTCTCCACGCCCCAGCCTGTTCCAGGGGATTCTTACCCTCGTTGTCAAGAACTAGTGTGGTTTGGTAAGTCGTGGCTGCTGTCCTCACTGTCTCCTATGCCCTGGTCGAGACAGAGCACAGTACCATAATAAAATGGATCAGAGGACTTCTTCGAGACTCTTCTCTCACTCCTGGAAAAAAGCAATAAACTTGATTTTGCAATAAACATAAATTTGATTTACCTAGGAAGAATGAAGCTAGCACAGGTTTCTGCATAAGGTCACTCACTTTTTGTTTTACATCTGTATCAACCAAAGATATTCCTCAGGTCCTCCGGAAATTTCTCTCTATAAACTGCCCAAGAAATAACTCTGTCTCTTCACCTTTCCCAGAGAACAGAGTTCCCTTCCAATGTACTTAGCCCAGTCCTCGTCCAGTTGTTAATTGGATGCTGTCTTTAGCAAATGACAGTTAACCTCTGCTTCTTAGACATATTCATACAACGTTCAAGTTGAACTCTATTAGAAATAAAACAAGTTGCACAGTATATTAGAAAGTCGTAACAGCCATGGAGAAAAACAAAGCCAGAAGAAGGATAGGGAATACCAGGTTAGCGGGCAGAGACTGCTATTTTCTTTTCTTTTTTTTTATCCTCACCCGAGGACATTTTCCCATTTTTTTGTTCAGGTAGAGTGGGAGGGGGAGAGAGGAACAGAGAGAGAGAGAGAGACATCGATGTGAAAGGAACACATCGAGTGGCTGCCACCCGCACGACCGACCAGGGCCGGGGACAAACTGCAACCGAGGTCCACGCCCTTAACGGGAACCGAACCCGGGTCTCTCTGTATCGCAGGCCGACGCTCCAACCGCTGAGCCAAACCGGCCAGGGGGAGACTGCCATTTTCAATATGGCAGCAGGGACGGCTCCACTGAGAATGTGACATTTGATAAGTAAAAATAAAGGGTGAGAGTCTGTCATGCAGATATTAAGGTTAGAGCTTTCCAGACAGAAGAAACAGCAAATGCAAAAGCCCTGAGATCTGAATATGCTCAGTCTGTTGTGTGGCTGAGCAGAGTAAGCAGGGGGAAGGGAAAGCAGTTGATGAGGTGTAAAGGTTGGGGAGAGATGGCAGGAAGGCTACGTGGGAGCATGGACCAGGGCAAGAATTTTAGGTTTTAAAACTCTGAGGGAAATGGAACCACTGGAAGGTTTTGAGCAGAGGAGTAACATGACCTCACATTCAAAAGCACCACTCTGGTTATATAAGAATATATGCTAAAGAAACAGAGGTGGAAATAGCAAAAAAAAAAAGTGGTGGTGAGAGAAACTGGATTCTAGGATTTGCTGGTGGGTTTTATGTAGCTTATGAGAGAAAAGGAAGGGTCAAGGATAACCCTAAGACTCTTTGGCCTGAACAACCATAGAATGGAGTTATCTTCAATTGAGAAGGTTTCATTTGGACATGTTAAGTTTGAGATGTGTATCAGATATCCCAGTGGGTTTAATGAATAGGCAATGTACTAGAGCAGTTAGGCATTCATAAGACAGTTTCACTTTGGATTTTTAAAACTGGGAGATAGCAGCATAGGAATGATATTAAAAAGCATGAGGGAAGGGACTGGGGGGGATATAGAATAGGATAAAGGGGGGATAAATGGTGATGAAAGGAGACTTGATGTGGGGTGGTAAACACACAATACAATATACAGATGATGTGTTATAGAACTGTATACCTGAAACCTACATGACTTTATTAACCAATGTCACCCCAATAAATTCAATTTTTAAAAAATGATTTCAGGTGTGAGAATAATAATGGACATTCCTAGTGCCCTAAGAAAATAAAATGGAAATTCCGGCTCAAAAAAACCCATGAGGTTAGATGTGATCACAGACAAAATAAGTATAGATAAAAAAAAGAAGACACTCACGGACTGAACTCTTAGATCTCCAACACTGAGAAGTTGGAAAGATGAGGAGATACCTACCATCCTTTTGCTGGTCTCCACCGTGAGATGTCTGGTGTGATCCTTGGGTGTGCCAAATTGTAGGACCCAAGAATACGACAGCCATTATCTTTGCTCAGTCATGATTTAGAGCAACTCCATCACCCACCCCATACAACCCTCAGTGACTCAGCCCCCAGTCAGACCTTTCTTGCTGTGGAGATGTCATGGAGCCTGGAGGCAAGTTCCACTGGAGTTGGCCATCCCACCACTGCAGCAAACCACTTAAATTCCCAGAAAGATCCCTTTCAGACACAACTGTATTGTGGGAGCAGAAATGCTGCCTCAGACTCACCTAACTATCCACCTGTGTCAACCATGACCCTCAGTGTTGACAAAGAGCCAACCGAAGTGGCAGCCTCATGCCAGCATTCTAAAAAGAGAAAGGAACAAAAACTACTTTATATTTTGCTTTATTAAAACTTGACCAGCCTGGAGAAGGGGAGTCAGACACCCATGTATAATTACCTTTCTCCCACATATGCTGCAACCAGAAGAAACAGGCTTTCCACTTTCCTCTGGCAGAGTCTTCCCCAGCATGCTGTCCTCCTCCTCTTAGTTGGAGTACTCAACCCAACTGCTCAGCCTGAAGAGTCCAAGGGTTACTTTTGCTATATGACAGAAGAAAAGGTGTGACCTGAGTCTTCTTGGCACAGTTATAAATAACAATAGACTTGGATCAACTTGGAACTAGGAATTACTAAAGATGAAAAGATATTGGTTTAATTGCCCAAAGATATTATCCCTTCCCCACGAATTACTACTTTCTCTTGTGCTGTGCAATTTGAAACTGAGTTTAAAAAAACAAAAACAAAAAAACCTGACTTTCCGGCCTGTGGTCCGGAGAGACCCGGGTTCGGTTCCCGCTAAGGGCACGTGCTTCGGTTGCAGTTTGTCCCCGGCCCTGGTTGGTCGTGCGGGTGGCAGCCACTCGATGTGTCCCTTCACGTCGATTCTCTCTCTCTCTCCCTTCCTCCCTCTCCCTCCCACTCTATCTGTACAAAAAATGGAAAAATATCCTCGGGGTGAGGATAAAAAAAAAAAAAAAAAAAAAAAACCTGACTTTCCATAGTGGTTTGTCATTAAAAGGGTAACTTTTTCAAATCAGTATTTTATTCTATGCTTGTTTTAGTTGTTTATGTGTTGTGGTCATCACTGTCTTTTTGCTTTAATTGTGCATTGAGGTGAATTCCCAAAGGGCATACTTTTTAAAAATAAAATCAATAAATAAATATGCTTTACTGCTACCTAAATTGTAAACCCAAAATATTATACGAAGTGATTATGTTGAGATTATGTATGCATTCCTTTTAAAGGTCACTCCTCTAAATTGAATGTTTTCAATCAAACTGACATTGTCTGTGTTTTGTTCATCATTGTTTAACCTCTAACGACCTGTTTTCCTCTTTGGAGAAGAAAGCCTCATTTATTCACATTAATACACCCAGACCTGACAGCCAGTGCTGTCAGGACTTCAATGCTTATTAATACTTAAGTACCACAACCTTCCTGAGAACTTCACTTCTTTTCGTATAACACACTGAAAACAGTATATGAAAATATAGCTTCACCAAAGAGGCTTACTTTAAAGTTAACATTGTACCTAATGCATTAAAAATGTCTGCTTCATTGATTGTTCCTCTTCAATTCAAGGTTTAATAAACTAATTCATTAATCACAGAATTGGTTTATGAAGGAGGAAGTCAATTCATTTGAGCTAAATGTGTTTTTGTAATGTGAGAACATGAACTTTTGGGGGCTGAACTACAAATGCATTGGATATTAGGTAGAATGGTAAGATAGATAGTAATATTAGTGTTTTATAGTGGACAAACAAGTTTTAAATTGTATAGCAGGAGAAATGTAATGATATTGCATCTATAACACCCCAAAATTTTATATTTCAATGTAGTTCTTATATCGTATTAGAGGAATTTTTCTACTAATAATTTGTGCTTTATTTTTTTTTATGCTTACCCAAGGATATTTTTATTGATTTTAGAGAGAAAGGGAGAGAAACAGAGAGAGAGACATTGATGTGAGAGAGATATATTGATCAGTTGCTTCCTGTACGCACCCGAACAGGAATCGAACTTGCAACCTACGCATGTGCCCTGACTGGCAATTGAACCCCATAATCTTTTGTATACAGTACAATGTTCTAACCAACTGAGCCACCCAGCCAGGGCTGTGCTTCATTTTATTTCACATTGAGCATAGAAAGGTTTTGGAAAATATTTTCCAACCTAGCCTATTGATGATAAACATATAATGACAATTAAAACTGTTTTACATTTATTAAGTTCTCATCTTCTTCTAAATGTCTTCAGGAACATTAATAACTGATGGCCCTTGCCGTCAGATAATCCCATTTTCTAGTTTTCTGGGACCAGTGGTACCTACTCGATAAAAGCATGTCTTTTGTATACAATAGAGGAAAGACAGCCTCTTCAATACATGGTGTTGGGAAAATCGGACAGCTACTTGCAAAAAAATGAAGCTAGACCACCAACTTACACCATACACAAGAATAAACTCAAAATGAAGAAAAGAGTTACATGTGACTTGTGAATCCATAAAAATCCTAGAAGAAAATGTAGGCAATAAAATTTCAGACATCACACACAACAGAATTTTCACTGATACTATGCCTAAGGCCATTGAAACAAAGAAAAAAATCAACACATGAGACTAAAACTAAAAAGCTTCTGCAGAATAAAAGAAACAAGCATCAAAATGGAAAGGGAACCCACTATATGGGAGACCATAATTACCAATGATATATCAGATAAGGGGTTAATTTCCAAAGTATATAGAGTACTCATACAACTCAACAAAAGGAAAACAAAGAACTCAATTTAAAAATGGGCAAAGGACATAAATAGACACCTCTTCAAACAGGACATACAAATGGCCAAAAGACATATGGAAAAATGCTCAACATCACTAATCATCAGAGAGATGCAAATGAAAACAACTATGAGGTATCACCTTATACCTGCCAGAATGGCTGTCATCAACAAATTGTCAAACAAGTGCTGGTAAGGGTGTGGAGAAAAGGGGACTCTAATACACTGCTGGTGGGAATGCAGACTGGTGCAGCCACTATGGAAAACAATATGGTATTTCCTCAAAAAATTAAAAATTGAATTGCCATTTGAACCAGTGATCCCACTTCTAGGAATATACCCTAAGAAGCCTGAAACACCAATCAGAAAGAATATATGTACCCCCATGTTTGTAGCAGCACTATTTACAATAGCTAAGATCTGGAAACAGCCCAAATGTCTTTCAATAGATGAGTGGATAAAAAAGCTGTGGTACGTATACACAATGGAGTACTATGCAGCTGTAAGAAAGAAAGATCTCTTATCCTTTGGAACAACATGGAGGGACCTGGAGAGCATTATGCTAAGCAAAATAAGCCAGAGAAAGACAAACAACGTATGATCTCACTTATACGTGGAATATAATGAACAAAACAAACTGATGAACAAAACAGACCCAAAGACATAGAAGTAGGGTACAGACTGAAAAACCTCAGAAGAAGGGGATGGGGGTGGGGAGGAAAGAGATAAACCACAGAACTTATATGCATGTATGTGTAACCATGGACATAGACAACAAAGCTGGGGGCAGGGGGTGAGATTGGGAGGAAGGTGTCAATGGGGGAAAGAGGAGAAATATCTGTAACAAAAATAAAATTAATTAATTTATTTATTTAATTTAATTTTTTTTAAGCACATCTTTCACTGTCCTGGATTCTATTTAATTAGAGCGGATATTTAGTGAACACCTACTGAACTAGGTAATGAAAGAAATAGGTTTTGGTTTTTTTTTTCAATTTGCTTTCAGTTCTCAAGGATTTTAAGACCTGTCATCCAAGAAGCCAACACATTTAACCATTAAATAATAATTGTAAGTATTTCCATTTGAGTGTTTCAAAAACGTATAAGCTGTATCCACAAGTGACTTCGTGTGCCGGTCCCACTGTACAAACACATAGAAACAGATACTGCTCTGGACGGGCAGCTGCCTCAGCAGGGCCTGCAGAACCGACTTGAAACCACCACTGGGAAGAGCATAAACTGGAGAGTCAGAGCTGGGTCTCAGTCAAACTCTGCTCCTTACCACTTTGACGGCCCAGGGCAAGCTGCTTAACTGTACTGTCTCAGCGTCCGTACCTGTAAAATGGGAACAGTTATACCAAGGTTGCTTAGGAATAGTGACAGTTTCTGTGAAGTGCCTGCGTGGCAGGTGCTCAGTAAAACATTACTTGAAAGATTCCACTCCTATTCTTCAGGAATAAACAATTTCCTCTATGTGTTATTCAACTGATGTTCCCTTTATATAAATTTCATCCTGTTATATTGTATGTATTTTTTAAAGCTACTTCAAATGTTTTTGGATAGGACCACATATAAATATAGACATACGTACTTGCATAATACAGATATTATATTTCCTTCTGACCCTTCACATTCTAATCCCTGTAAAAATATTTTCCCTCACTTTGGGACAAAACTCCGTTTTACACAGACTTTGGTTTTCTTTTCTTTTCTTTTTTTTTTTTTTAATTTTTTTCCCCATTGATATTTTCTTTTTTTAGAGAGAGTTGAAGGGAGGGAGGTAGAGAGAGAGAAAGAAACATCGATGCTGAGAAAGACTCATCGATTGGTTGCCTCTCGCACAGCCCTGGGTCAGAGCCAGGGAAACCTGCAACCCAGGCACGTGCCCTTGACTGGAATTGAACCCGGGACCCTTCCGTCTGTGGGTCAATGCTCCAACCACTGAGCCAAACTGGCCAGGGCATCTTTATTTATTTTTTTTTCTTTTCTTTTTTTAAAGGTTAAAGCAGCCAGACCAGTGTGGCTCTTACCCTCTCCCTTCCTCTCTCTCTAAAATCAATAAAGAAAAAAAAAATTTTAATAAATAAAGGTTAAAGCAGCATCCATAAGTTCAATAAAAATATATATAACTAAATATCTCTACCTTTAGCAGGATGCAAAGGGCCTTGTAGCTGAACAGTAATATAATCAGCATCTGTGGCAGCAAGGAACTAAAGCCAAAACTTTAAGGATATTTTTAAAGGTTTAAGTCTTCATATTTTTTGTACTATCACAGAATTACAAACCTCGAACTTCTATTGCTCTAAAAACACTAGGGAAGGTGGCTCAGAACACTTAGCAGAACGCACACTTGCTCCTTGTTCTGATCTGCAGGCGCCGGTGCTTCTCCAGAGCCTGCCTGTCACTCTCCACCGGCAAGTCTAATAGCACGTTGAGTGCAGAGACTAGAAAGGGAATAAAATGTTTTAAACACATTAAGATTTATCCAACTCACTAATATAATTATTTTTTGAAGACTGACCTCTTTATGAAGTATTTTTAAATACATAATGCTTTGGAATACCCCACTAATAGAAAGCCTGCCTTTAAAAATACTAAGACCAGCTTACTAAACAATTGCTTACATAATATTTACTACATGCACTGTTCTAAGCCCTTTATATAATTTGTGATACCTTGAATTTAATTACCTGAAAGATGTTGTAACTCTTTTTTTAGTATCTATATATATTTCCAGGTAAACATACTTTGAGTAACTATATTTCAGCGTGGGCCACATATCAATTATCAGTTGTCACAATAACGCTGCATAAATCATCCCAAAACGTAGAGTCTTAAAATAGCAACCATTTATTGTTTCTCCTTCGTCTGTCAGGAAACTGCTGATCTTGCCAGGCTTAGGTTGATTCAAAATACCTGGGATGACTCAGCTTTGTTCTACCCACTGTGGGTGAAGCTAACCCAGACTGGCTCTTATACAGATGGCAATGTTTCAAGAGAGAGAAAAGAGCACAAGGCTTCTTTAGGCTTAGACTTGAGACTTGTACACTATTATTTCCATTAATTCCATTGGCCAAAGTAACTCCCTAGGTCATCCCAGATTCAAGGGGTAAGAAAGTGGACTCCACTTTGTGATGCAAAAAGCCGCAAGGTCACACTGCAAGGGGACATGCACGCAAGGTGAATAATGGCTTCTTTGTGACTTATCTACCCTTTCACACACTACTTCATTTGTACTATTCTGAAACCTTCTAATACATAGTTCATTCCCAATTATTTCCAAGTATATATGAAACATGCAACAAGAGAGACTATATTCAAGGCCATAAAACAAATCTTACCCAATTTAAAATAATGGAGATCATAAAAGTACATTCTCAGAGGATAACAAATAGAAATCAGTAAGAGAAAGGTACCTGGAAAATCCTCAAATACATGGAAAGTAAACAACACTTTTCTAAAGAACTCATGGGTCAAAGAGGAAGTCTAAAGGGAAATTTTAAATTATTTTTAACTAAGCAAAAATTAAAATACAGTAGTCTGCCTCTTATCCATGAGGGATATGTTACAAAACCCTCACTGAATGCTTGAAACAGTGGATAATACCGAACCCTATACATGCACTATGTTTTCTCTAAAGCACACATACGTATGATACAGTTTAATTTAGAAATTAGGCAAAGTAAGAGATTAACAACAATAACTAATAATAAAATAGAACAATTTTTTAAAGAGGGAGGGAGGGAGGGAGGAAGAAAGACAGAGAAACGTCAATGTGAGAAAGAGACATCATTCAGTTGCCTCCCTCCTGTACGCCCCCCACAGGGATCAAACACACAACCACACTCCAACCAACTGAGCCACACCAGACAGGGCTAAATTGTTAAATAGAACAATTTAAACAACATGCTATACTGAACATTATGTGAATGTGGTCTCTCTCTCAAAATATCTTTTTTTTTTTTTTTTTTTTTTTTTGCCTTTATTGATTTTAGAGAGAGAGGAAGGGAGAAGTAGGGAGAGAGAGAAACATTGATGAGAGAGAACATCAATTGGCCACCTCCTGCATGTCCCCCACTTAGGATCGGGCACTGGGGATCGGGCCCACAACCTGTGCATGTGCTCTGGCCTGGAATCTAATTGGTGACCTCTTGGTGCACGGGTTGACGCTCAACCACTGAGCCACACTGGCTGGGCTCTGTCAAAATATCTTATTTTACTAAGCTCACCTTTTCACTGAAAGGAACCACTTGACCGCTTCTCTCAGCATACCCAATTGCCAGCAGCCCCCTTCTTCCTCCCTCTTTGGGGCCATGATTAAGTAATAAGGGTTACTTGCACAGAAGCAATGTGATACCAACAATCAATCTGACAACCCAGAAGGCTACTCAGTGACTATGGCTGGTAAATAGCGCTGAGACACTGACCAGGGGATGATTTACACTCCAGCAGCGGCAGGACTGAGAGAAAGACATCGCATGAGATTTTGTCGTGCTCATCAACGCAGCATGCAATTTAAAACTTATACCTTGTTTATTTCTGGAATTTTCCATTTAATATTTTCCAACTGAGGCTGACCACGGGTAACTGAAACTGTGAAAGCAAAACCAGTTAAGGTGGTGGGGAGGTAAGTGTACAGCATTTCAAAATATGTAGAATACAGCTAAAGCAGTGCTCAGGGAAAACTTCCAGCATTAAGTGCAAATATTAAAAAAGAACAAAGATCTAAAACCAATAGCTTAAGTTCTACCTTTAGAATCCAAAAATATAAAAAATAAACCTGAAGCAAATAGAGGAATAACAGAAATATTAGAGCAGAAATCGGTGAAATTAAAAATAAAAAAGTTGAGAAAAATCTATGACATCACAAGTAGCTCACACTAAGTGGGATTGAAATAACAGAATTTCCTTGAGATATTATAAAGCATTTTTTCTCACACTTTTTAGTGACAGAACCCCTTTATAACCTAGCAATTGAAAGACCCCCACCCCCATTTAAAACACAAATGTACACAAGCACATATTCCATTAGCTGTCATCATGTCATGTAGCCTCTGGAAAGCACTATACGTATAAGAATGGAAAAGCAAATGTCTTATTGCTACAAAAAAAGGTTTGATTACATGGACACCCAGAAAGGCTTTAGGCAACCCCCAGGAGTCCCCAGACAATACTTTTGAGAATTTGTAGAGTAAGGTATCCAAAGGCTTAGGTAGACTGAAATGCTAGAGTGAATTTGCCCATCTACCTGCTAACTGTATCCCCAAAGATCCGCAGGACACTCCTTCACCAAAGCTGTGCAATGTACATTCATGAGGCGTGTCCCAGCCTCCTTAAAGCTCTGGGGGCCGGTTCTCTGCGGGCCAGACACAGAGGAAAATGCTGCCATTGAACTTGTCTCCTCCACTTCAACCGGGATAATGGCAGAGGGATAGGGACCAAGTTGTAACACTTCATTGCCAAAAACAAGGTTGATGTGGTTGTGTAATGGAGAGTGGAGCAAAAGCGTTAACAGCATGACATACATACATAGATATCTTTGGTATAAGTAACTGATCATGGTGTCCCGAGACCTGAATTAGATGAGCAGCCTACTACAGTCTTGATTTGTAGAAGAGTAGAATGTTCTAGGTCTGGTTAAATTACCACAATAAAGAGTCTGGGTCTTCCAACAACTTCCCCTGGTGAAGCTTCTTAATTCATTTTAAGTGTAAATTAAATGGTATAAGCCCTTGTCTCCTTTATTTTCAGTACGTCTCAGTACTAATTTTTCTTTCCTAAATTAATCATGCATTTAGTAAATTTTAAAAGTTTTAACCTTGATCTGACAGTCACATTTGGATGGGAGTTTCCGTGGGAATGGAAATTGCTGCTGTAAGAAACTTGCTGAAGATTTCACGTGAACAGGCTTCACCGACCCTGAGAGCACCAAATGTCTTAATGTTTGGGGTAACTCCCAGTGCTTAAGTGAATTTTGTATTAGGGAAAGTAACATCACCTTTTTAGGCTGCGAAGGAGTACGGATGCAGCATACCTATTGTCCCAGCAGCCCACCACAAAGAGGGTTAAATTCCTCCCTCTCCAGAGGAAGAGAGTTTCTCACTAACAAGGCTTACATAGTGTAGTTCTAGACTTAAAAGTAAGTTTTTAAGCCAGTGCCTTCTAGTGTGCAGAGTTGGGTAAATTTATCATGAAACACAAAAGCATAATAAAGGATTAGCTTCCATCCTCTATAGTAAATAGAGGATTTTGAGGAAACTTCTTTTTAAGAATACTCTATTCGCCCTGGCCGGTTTGGCTCAGCGGTTAGAGTGTTGGCCCGCGGACCGGAGAATCCTGGGTTCAGTTCCCACTAAGGGCACGTACCTCGGTTGCAGTTTGTTTCCAGCCCCAGTTGGGGTCGTGTGGGTGGCAGCCACTCGATGTGTCTTTTTCATTTTCACGTCTATGTTTCTCTCTCTCTCATCTTTCCTGTCTCCCTCCTGCTCTATCTGAAGATAAACACAAAAATGTCCTCAGGTGAGAATTAAAAAAAAAAAAAAAAGAATATTCTATTCAAGGTTATCCAGGTTGATGGAGACTCAGACATGGCACCTGGCCGCTGGCTCTTGAGGGGAAGGGCTCAGATAAGGAACAATGGCCTCTGTCAGCACTTCCACCTGGGAGAAAGCTGCCCCTCCAGATCTTCCTCCTATGTCCCTGCTCCCACTAACTCATTTCAAGGGCTCTACAGCCTTGTGAGGCCAGTGGCCACTACATTGGACCACACAGATAGGAAGAGTGCTGGAGGACTTGAGAGCAGAGAATCAAGGAGCCCCAGGGTGGTAGAGCAGAACCTCATGGAAAAGTGGGGCTTGAATTCATCTCTGAAATAATGTTAGAGTGTATAGAAGTTTGCAAGTGGAAAATAATATGGCGAATGTCAAGGCTGGATATTTCCAAAGTTCCCCAAAGTCTTCACAGACTAGCTGCCCTTACTGGATTTGTCATGGATGAAAGGTGGCCCTCAGAAACCTGATGATGTGAGCACGGTGAGTTCTTCACAGCAGCCAACCTCAGGACATTGATGCCTGACATTTGATGAGATCAAAGGTCATTTTTTAAAAATTAAACTTTTTATTTGGAGATAACTGTAGATTGACATGTAACTATAAGAAATAATACAGAGAGGTCTCACGTACCTTTTACCCATTTTCTCCCAATTGTAACATCTTGCAAAACTGGTGCAGAACGACTCCTGGTATATTGACATTGATCCGGTCACAACACAGAGCATTTCCATCACTGAAGGACACGTCATGTTTTCCTTTTAGAGCCACATCCATTTCCCTTTTGCACACACACACACCCTTCTTTTCAATGCCTGGAAACCACTAATCTGCTTTTTCTTTCTATAACTTTGTAATTTCAAGTATATCATATAAATGAATCATAGTTT